TTTACTGTAGTAGGGCACGTAGTGTTTACTCTAGTTGGGCACATAGTGTTTATTGTAGTGTTTACTGTAGTGGGGCACATAGTGTTTACTGTAGTGTTTACTGTAGTGGGGCATGTAGTGTTTACTGTGGTGTTTACTGTGGTGTTTACTGTAGTGGGGCACGTAGTGTTTACTGTAGTGTTTTCTGTAGTGTTTACTGCAGTGGGGCATGTTGTGTTTACTGTAGTGTTTACTGTAGTGGGGCATCTAGTGATTACTGTAGTGGGGCATGTAGTGTTTACTGTAGTGTTTACTTTAGTGGGGCATGTAGTGTTTACTGTAGTGGGGCATGTAGTGTTTACTGTAGTGTTTACTGTAGTTGTGCACGTAGTGTTTACTGTAGTGTTTATAGTAGTGGGGCACATAGTGTTTACTGTAGCAGGGCACGTAGTGTTTACTGTAGTGTTTACTGTAGGGTTTACTGTAGTTTGGCATGTAGTGTTTACTGTAGTGTTTACTGTAGTGTTTACTGTAGTGGGGCATGTAGTGTTTACTGTAGTAGGGCACGTAGTGTTTACTGTAGTGGGGCATGTAGTGTTTACTGTCGTGTTTACTGTAGTGGGGCATGTAGTGTTTACTGTAGTGGGGCACGTAGTGTTTACTGTAGTGTTTACTGTGGTGTTACTGTAGTGTTTACTGTAGTGGGGCACATAGTGTTTACTGTGGTGTTTACTGTCGTGTTTACTGTAGTGGGGCATGTAGTGTTTACTGTAGTGTTTACTGTGGTGTTTACTGTGGTGTTACTGTAGTGTTTACTGTAGTGGGGCATGTAGTGTTTACTGTAGTGGGGCACGTAGTGTTTACTGTAGTGTTTACTGTGGTGTTTACTGTGGTGTTACTGTAGTGTTTACTGTAGTGGGGCACATAGTGTTTACTGTAGTATTTACTGTAGTGTTTACTGTAGTGGGGCACGTAGTGTTTACTGTAGTGGGGCACATAGTGTTTACTGTAGTAGGGCACATAGTGTTTACTGTGGTGTTTACTGTAGTGGGGCACATAGTGTTTACTGTAGTAGGGCACGTAGTGTTTACTGTAGTGTTTACTGTAGTGGGGCACGTAGTATTTACTGTGGTGTTTACTGTAGTGTTTACTGTAGTGGGGCACGTAGTGTTTACTGTAGTGGGGCACATAGTGTTTACTGTAGTGTTTACTGTAGTAGGGCACGTAGTGTTTACTCTAGTTGGGCACATAGTGTTTATTGTAGTGTTTACTGTAGTGGGGCACATAGTGTTTACTGTAGTGTTTACTGTAGTGTGGCACATAGTGTTTACTGTAGTAGGGCACGTAGTGTTTACTGTAGTAGGGCACGTAGTGTTTACTGTAGTAGGGCACGTAGTGTTTACTGTAGTAGGGCACGTAGTGTTTACTCTAGTGGGGCACATAGTGTTTACTGTAGTGTTGACTGTAGTAGGGCACAGTGTTTACTGGAGTGTATACTGGAGTGTTTACTGTATACTGAAACTTTACTAGTATTGTGATACCACAATTTGACAAAATGTTCAACATGAGATTTTCGTAACCCTTTATCAGGTTCAGTAAGGTTGGACTAGGTTTCAGTGACTGCACCCTGTGTTCTGTCTAAAACGTGTGTCCTTGTGTGTGTTTGTGTGCATTGTGGTGGATATTATCAAATAAGCATTTGCTGGAGTCCAAGTCAAACTAAGATTCTTTATTTCTGAGCTCAGAGGAAACAGAGTCACACAGCACAGTGTAGACAGTCTGAATTCAGAAGCATTGGGTGATGAGCACATATCTTTATAGTTTCCTGTTCTTGGGTCGGGACTTTATTTATTCAAGGACGCATGTGCAAGCTGGTTTGCAACACAGAATGATACTCCCAAGAACAGGAGATCATTATAGGACAGTTTCACACAGTTTCACAAGGTTAGTCACATGCTCAATTATGTGGACACATACAATTAAAATGTTGGCGGGAACTGGAACACTCTGTTGTACACGTTGATCCAGAGCATCTCAAACACGCTCAATGGGTGACATGTCTGATGAGTATGCAGGCCATGGAAGAACTGGGAAGTTTTCAGCTTCCAGGAATTTTGTACAGATCCTTGCGACATGGGGCCGTGCATTATCATGTTAAAACATGAGGTGATGGCGGCGGATGAATGGCACGACAATGGGCCTCAGCATCTCATCACGGTATCTCTGTGCATTCAAATTGCCATTGATAAAATGCAATTGTGTTCGTTGTCTGTAGCTTATGCCTGCCCATACCATAACCCCACCACCATGGGGCACTCTGTTTACAATGTTAACATCAGCAAACCACTCACCCATACGAAGCCATACATGCGGTCTGCGGTTGTGAGGCCGGTTGGAGGTACTGCCAAATTCTCTAAAACCACGTTGGAGGCGGCTTATAGTAAAGAAATGAACATTCAATTCTCTGGCAATTGCTCTGGTGGACATTCCTGCAGTCAGCATGCCGATTGCACGCTCCTTCAAAACTTCAAATCTGTGGTATTTTGTTGTGTGTCAACTGCACATTTTAGTGGCCTTTTATTGTCCCCAGCACAAGGTGCACCTGTGTAATGATCATGCTGTTTAATCAGCTTCTTGATATGCCACACCTGTCAGGTGGATGGATTATCTTGGCAAAGGAGAAATGCTCATTTAACAGCGATGTAAACAAATTTGTGCACAACATTTGTGCATATGGAACATTTCTGGGATCTTTTATTTCAGCTCATGAAACATGGGACCAACACTTTACATGTTGCGTTTATATTTTGGTTCAGTATATTCCCCCAGGTGCTCCACTGTCAAAAGGTAATTTCAGTCATCCCAACAGTTGCACATTTGGATGTGTTGAGTGATTATTGCATATTAATTTAACCAGTCTTTCACTTCATTTAGATAGTTCCAATGCAGATCTACAGAGGGTTACTAGTGTTAGTACTGTAAATGCACTGAACGTGCTCATCAGTTGATACATAGTTGAATGTGAAGTAGATAGTCTGTAGATGTCAACTAAGCTCAACTTGTGTTTCCCTTTATTTGGATAGTCCCAAAGCATATCTACAGATAGTTACTAGAATTACAACAAATATGCTGTTAAATTGTAACTGATATGCAGCTGAGATGCTGCTGATAGACTCCACAATTTATAGTCCAATATTTACACGTCTTTTGGGGAAGTGGGGACTGTTTAAATTGTGCAGTGTTTAAATTGTCCAGTATTTAGCAATAACAATAGGAGTATGTTAGCAGCAGTTGTGATGTGTTTAGCATGAATGTGTATTAATGTGTGTGTGTGCTAATAAACACATTGGATGATTCATATATTAAATAATACATTAATCATGATGAACAACTCAATGTAATGATAATTAAAATATTTGAAGATTTGTGCATTTTATGAAAGTATATCCAATGGAAGTTCAATAAACCTTTTTATTTATTTTTTTATTTCACCTTTATTTAACCAGGTAAGCCAGTTGAGAACAGGTTCTCATTTACAACTGCGACCTGGCCAAGATAAAGCATAGTAGTGCAATAAAAAACAACAACACAGAGTTACATATGGGGTAAAAAACATAAAGTCAGAAATACAACAGAAAATATATATACAGTGTGTGCAAATGTAGCAAGTTATGGAGGTAAGGCAGTAAATAGGCTATAGTGCAGAATAATTACAATAGTATTAACACTGGAATGCTAGATGTGCAAGAGATTATGTGCAAATAGAGATACTGGGGTGCAAAAGAGCAAAATAAATAACAATATAGGGATGAGGTAGTTGGGTGGGCTAATTTCAGATGGGCTGTGTACAGGTGCAGTGATCGGTAAGGTGCTCTGACAACTGATGCTTAAAGTTATTGAGGGAGATAAGAGTCTCCAGCTTCAGAGATTTTTGCAATTCGTTCCAGTCATTGGCAGCAGAGAACTGGAAGGAATGGCGGCCAAAAGAGGTGTTGGCTTTGGGAGTGACCAGTGAGATATACCTGCTGGAGCGCAGACTACGGGTGGGTGCTGCTATGGTGACCAATGAGCTAAGATAAGGCGGGGATTTGCCTAGCAGTGATTTATAGATGGCCTGGAGCCAGTGGGTTTGACGACGAACATGTAGTGAGGACCAGCCAACAAGAGCGTACAGGTCACAGTGGTGGGTAGTGTATGGGGCTTTGGAGACAAAACGGATGGCACTGTGATAGACTACATCCAATTTGATGAGTAGAGTGTTGGAGGCTATTTTGTAAATGACATCGCCGAAGTCAAGGATCGGTAGGATAGTCAGTTTTACGAGGGCATGTTTGGCAGCATGAGTGAAGGAGGCTTTGTTGCGAAATAGGAAGCCGATTCTAGATTTAACTTTGGATTGGAGATTCTTTATGTGAGTCTGGAAGTTGAGTTTACAGTCTAACCAGACACCTAGGTAACTGGTAACCTAGGTAACTGGGGACATGGCGAAAGCTTACTGACACACAAGACAAATGGTTTATTATTCATGAAATAAAGTTATAGTTACATAACATTGTTTCTTATGGTAAATGGGGGACTAACCGTATAATAAACATTTTTGTAATGAATTTGGTTCAATAATTCATACAAAATATGTGTTAACATGTCATGGGACACAAAAGGCACCGGATTGTAGGAATGACCCACCCGTTGTTATACCCTCTGCTGAGAAAGAAAGAAAGTGCTGAGTCAACTGGGTTCAATCAGAATCACTCAAAGATGATCATAATAACAGAAAGAGCTGAGTCAACTGGGTTCAATCAGAATCACTCAAAGATTATCATAATAACAGAAAGAGCTGAGTCAACTGGGTTCAATCAGAATCACTCAAAGATGATCATAATAACAGAAAGAGCTGAGTCAACTGGGTTCAATCAGAATCACTCAAAGATGATCATAATAACAGAAAGAGCACACAAAGAATCAGCAATGGTGTCAAATTATATCACTGTGCTTATTATTCATGATGTCATACACTTGACTCATCTCTCCTTTATGGATACCTTCGCTGAAGTGTAAGTCACACCATTGTAGGTGCCGTTGGATGGGAAGACCAGCTGGCTGCCATTCATGCAGGTGACTTTCACTGTGGCCCTGTAGTCGAGGTCGATATTTGCTCTCCCCACTGTGACGACAACATCCAAGGTCTTCCATGGCGGGACCTTCAGTTGGATGGTATCCGCTTCTGTTATGGTCTCTGTCTTCTGCAGACTGGTGGAATGCTCCACTCCCACGGTCAAGCTGAACCCTGATGACACCTCGACCAGATCCGGGATCCCCGCTTTGACCGACACGTTCAAGGTGGTCTCTATCTTGTTGCTGACCGACCAGGAGGAAGTCTTAGTCAGGGTCTTGCTGTATGTAATGGACTCTTCTTGAACCAAGGACGTGTCATTTTGGTGAGACACGGACCTCACATATTCTGGGGTCACCTAAAATCAACACACACACACACACACACACACACACACACAGATAGAAATTGTTCAAACAAGACAAAGACAATTTAAGAACTAATCATCAGTGAGGAACTGATCAATTGATTTTTAGAAGGCCATTAATAATAACTAATATGTGTGTGTGTGCCGTCTTGGCCTGATTTTAAAAATGCATATGGTATAAAAAAACATTTGGGTGTTGAGGCTATTTTAAACAAAATACATAACTGTCCTAGAAATGAGATGCCTGATGCACCAAAGAATGTCGACCCCCGTATTGGATTACATGTTTTAAAGTGGACAGCCCCCTTAAAGTTTGAGCATCGGTAGAGTTTTCCTTAGCCATCTACACACGTCTATAGCAGAGCTCACCTGGGGTTTGAGGAAGGACAGGGTGGGATACTCCATGTCGGTCAGCATGGACGACTTGATGGGGTTGATGAAGAGGAAGCCCATGGAGTCGATATCCGAGCCAGACCTCCCCTCCAGCCCCAGGCAGATTCCGGACCCCACATCTATGGTGTACTCAGTCTTCAGGGGCCAGCTAGTCATTTTTTCAAAGAACTGCCGGTTCTTACTCGTCGTGAACTTGATGGCACCCAGATGTGTGCCAGCGCCGTTACCCCACAGTGACAGCTTGGTGATGTGCTCGCCGAGGTCGAACTCAAACTCATTGAAAGTGTGCGCTTTTCCAAAGGTTGCCACACGCCCGTCGGTCAGCTCCGCACGCACAGCTTTGACCTGCCAGCCTTTCACCGCCACACCGATCTTCTTGAGGGTGGCACCGTTGTTCCTGCCGTGGAATTCAAATGGTGCGCCTCCTCCACCACCGATAATGTACAGTCTGGTTGCCATGTGGAGTGTGTGTGCGTGCGTCCCGTAACCTCAATTAGAAATTTGCACAGATAAATGTATGCAGCCTCCAACTCAAAGGAGAACTGATTCAGACATTCAAAGAACCAAAAGGAAATCAAGGAACAAGATTAAAGGAGAAAACAATAACCAAGGGATATATTTTATCATGGTAAGAACTAGAGGTCGATGTCACGATCGTCGTATTGAATAGACCAAGGCGCAGCGTGATGAACAAACATGGTTAACTTTATTATCTTTAGTGATAATAGAAACAACAATCAAAACAAGAAACGACTCGTGAAGTCCACGGTAACAATGACCAACACGGAACAAAAACCCACAAACACAAAGGGAAAACAGACAGTTCAAATATGGCTCCCAATCAGAGACAACCAACGACAGCTGACACTCGTTGCCTCTGATTGGGAGTCACTCTAGCCAACATAGAAATAAACACAACAGAATGAACACACCCTGGCTCAACATATAGAGTCCCAGAGCCAGGGTGTGACAGTCGAGCAACACATCAGTCAAGGGTAGGGCTCTCCAACCCTGTTCCTGGAGAGCTTCACTCCTGTAGGTTTTCACACCAACCCCAGTTGTAACTAACCTGATTCAGCTTATCAACCAGTTCATTATTAGAATTAGGTGGACTAGATTGGGATTGGAGCGAAAACCTACAGGACGGTAGCTCTGGTCTAGGGTGACGAAACCGCACCACAATCCTCAGGTCACTAAGAAATGACACATTCATAAATTGCTCCTTAAACTCCTCCTCATCCTCCACCCTCCTCTGATTTCTATTCATCTGGAATCTATCACACCCACTCAGCTAGGAACCTCAGAGTCACCATGGAGTCCCTCTCCTACTCCCAGCACATCCCCACTGTACCTCCAGCTGCTTCTTCCTGATCAACATGGTGACTTATGTGTAATGATGTCTATAAACATATTGTTGTGTAAGTGAGCACGTCTCTATGCACTTCTAAAATGTATTCTGATGTTGCTACAATGACGAATAATCATGAATAATGATGAGTATAAAAGTTATAGATACCATGTCAGAATATGAGGTGTTTATGGTGCTGAAACTCACTTCTCCAAACAAAGGTGTTGCTTTGAAATATCTGAAAGAATAAAGATTGAATTGAATTAATATATAACAATTTTCTTTAAGACAGGCTGCAGTATACACAGGTATGCATTAATAAATTATAATATAGAACATTATTCTTTAAGACAAGCTGCAGTATTCACAGTTATGTATTAATATATTATAATATAGGACAATATTCTTTAAGACTGTCACGTCTCCTCCCATTGCTCCCCTCCAGCGCTCTGATTCGCCGGTCTACTGAGCCACCGGTCTGAGCGCACAACCTCGGCAACACCGGAATGGAAACCCAACGCACCCTAATCACCTCCAGCGCACCTGCACCTCATCACCACCCCTATATAGCCCAGGACTGTTCAGTGTTGTTCTCTTGCTCAGTGTTAAGTAAACCTTTACATTGTTGATTCCTGCGTCTTCGTATCCTCAGTACTCATCACAAAGACTGCAGTATTCACAAGTATGTATTAATATATCATAATATAGAACAATATTATTTAAGACAGGCTGCAGTATTCACAGGTATGCATTAATATATTATGACGTGAGAGAGTTGAGTCCCTCGCCTCCTTCTCAGCTCGCGAGGGACTCAACTCAAACGAGCAGAAGTTGGAGCCAGATACATGTTTTTTTTGCCAAGATAGCACCAGTCACCTATGTTGACAATCGCCAACTTTCCAGCTAACTTTTTTTGCACGATTGCTAGCAAAGTCAGCTTTCTACAGACTTACGTACTGCAGCTTTAACGGAACAAAATGGCTGGCATGAAGAACTTCCTGTCTCAGTTCACCTTTGCTGCAGTTCAAGAATTTGGAACCTGACATTTCAGTACCCAACACTAGATTTGTAATCAAGATGAAGACACAGCTTGATGTAAAGTACTAGACTCAACAGTCTACTCACATTAAACATCATACTGACATAATACTTTTGCATTCAAACCGAACAATAGGAGGCCAAAGTCAACCATGTGAAAACAAGGCAACAGTAAACATGTCATCCCCCACGAATGATGCAGCACCCTGCCTTGGGCCAATTGAGATATTGCGTGTGACTAACCAATTGCAGTTAATTACCATAGCTCCCACCTTAGGCCAATCAGTGTAATTTAGTAAATGCCGGCTCTCTACGGCAAGATGAATCATTCAGCAAGTTTTGTCAAAATTGTCCTGTCTGAGATATTGTGTGTGACTAACGTACGAACAGACGGACAGAGCCCGCTCCGTAGTCCCCTCCCCAATTTCATTGTGTGGGACAACAAACCCATACCATGCTTGTTCAGCTAGACTTTATAACTGATTTTAAGCAACTGTTTCAGAATATAGGAAGCATTTGTTCCCTGAAATGTTTTCTTCATTAATTGGTCAAAATAAAAATGTAGCTCTCAAATATTTCCTCATATAGCAAGATTAGTTTAGGAACATCTTGTACTTACATACAATTCTGTGCAGGCCTCAGTGTTAAGGATGACTATAGAAGATCTTGATTGAAGTAAACTGATAGGTCTGATTCAATATGCAATAAACTTGTTTACCAGAAAAGAGTCAAGACTCAGAGTGAAGTTCATTTGTTTAACACCAAAGACGCAACAGCGGAATGCGTGTCTCTGGAGTGGAGCAGCACTCTCTTATAAAGCAGCAAAACAACCCCCACGCCCATACAATGATATGTCATAAGTAGTTTGCTATTAAATTGAAACAGACCGTTACACCCTGATAAAGACATTGTATTGTGCTGATCATGACATGTTTCAACCACTCTTAGTCACCACTTCCTCTTCTTGCTGTTGAGCCAGAGAGCATATCTGGTGTTTCCAGTCACTTCACAAAGATACTCACTAATATGCAACAACACATTTCACCACTCTTAGGGGAAAAAAGGTGCTATCTAGAACCTAAAATGGTTCTTTGGCTTTCCCCATAGGATAACCCTTTGAAGAACCATTTTTCGTTCCAGGTAGAACCCTTTTGGTTCCAGGTAGAACCCGTTTGAGTTCCATGAAGAAACGTCTACACAGAGGGTTCTATATGAAATCCAAAAGGGTTCTACTTGGAACCATAAAGGTTTCTCCTATGGGGACAGACGAAGAACACTTTTGGAATCCTTTTTTCTAAGAGTGTGGTTTTGTACATCAAAACATCCCATAAGATTAAAGCCTAACTCCACATATCCTATCACACTAAAGCAATTAATTTACAATCTTTCAAAACTTTTATGACAAGTTAAGAAAATGGCTGACATGGAGACCTTCCTTTCTCTTATTTCCTGTGAACACTCTGGCTGTGTTTGAATAGTCTCGTGAACTGAAGGAACCTTCCTTCCTTGCTAGTTGACCCGGAAGATTCTAAGCAGCAGCGAGGAAAGGACCATTCAAATTGTGAAAGGCATTAAGGAACGGAGCTTCAGTCATCCTTTCCTACCACCTTTTACCGAGGCTACATGGATGTAACCTTTTGCGGAAGCGTTTAGGGAAATGTTCCATCACAATGAATTACAGCCAATATCCGATAATTATCGAAGTTTGCCGAAACAGTCCAGAAGGAAAGTTAATTCAGAAGATGACCAGAGATGCTGAAGGAAGGACCCTTGTTGTATCATGGCTGATAATCACATGCAAAGTGGATCACGGCTTTGCCTAATAGTCAGAATAAGCTGTGATAGTGTAATCACAAATCAATATAATTTACATATTTTGCTCCAATTTATTTCAAACACTTAGGCCTATGGCTGTAACTCATACTGTTCACGTCTGTGTATTACATGGATATGCAAGCTGAAAATCCATCATAAAATCTAATGTGTAGGCTAATGTTAAGAGGAGACCCACGCCCTAATCACTTTGAGATGGAGGGACATTTTCACGGGGAAGAGAAATGCTGTCAAATTGGGCTGGGAGTGAGTAAAACGTTCCATACTCATAGTACTCATACACACTCATACTCCATACTGTCATAAAGTACTATAGCCTACTCCACCTGTTGGATCAATGTAGGGGAGAGCCGGGCCAAAAGTAACACGGGGTGAAAGTAACACTCCATTTTCTCAGATAACACAGAATCTAGAATGACTTAAGAGAGTATACAGTAGATTGCAGGGGCAAAATAGGATGATTGATGCATTTGATGGATAATTGATGCGTTTGATGGATGATTTGATGCGTTTGATGGATGATTGTGTTTGATGGATGATTGCTGAGCTCTTCCTTTTTGCTGACCTCTTAATGACCTCTTAATGACCTCCTGCCTTCAGAAAGTATGCATACTGCTCAGTTTGACCGGGCGGCCAGCTATAGGAAGAGTCTTGGTTGTTCCAAACGTACACATACACAATCGCTCTCTTCGTCACCGTGATCACACTGTTCTTCAACTGGTCGTTCAGTACTGTTTCCTTTGAATTAAACGTTGCACACCATTCTGTCAAACTGAACTCATCCCTGGCAACAGAAAAGATGGTGGGTGATATTCAAGTAAAGGTCACAGAGATGAAGAGGAAGGGGAAGTTACTTACCTTCCAACTAAGACAAGTGGATGAACATGTTTTTCTTGTTGCAGGACAACAGTACCTTGTTACATTCAATAGTAATGGTAAAAAAAAAATATATATATATATATATATTGAACATTTGTGTGTGGAGGAGGCAAACACATTTTCAGGGGCACGTAGTGTTTACTGTGGTGTTTACTGTAGTGAGGCACGTAGTGTTTAATGTAGTGTTTACTGTGGTGTTTACTGTAGCGTTTACTGTGGTGTTTACTGTAGTGTTTACTGTAGTGTTTACTGTGGTGTTTACTGTAGTGTTTACTGTGGTGTTTACTGTGGTGTTTACTGTAGTAGGGCATGTAGTGTTTACTGTGGTGTTTACTGTAGTGGGGCATGTAGTGTTTACTGT